GCCTCCCCACCTCCGCACATGTTATCGCTGTAGGGGCCTAGCTGTTAAACCTTGGAGCCGAGGTTTAATCCGTTTAATGGCACGAGTAGAGGTGGGGAGACCATCAGGGGATTAAGCGGCACTGCTTTAAAGTTAGGTCGGCCATATTTAGTCGGTGGATCAGTTAGTCTGCAGACCATCCGTTCTGAATGCGTTCTTACAGGCTTTTAGTAGAGACAGGCATTAACAAGAACTTTGGATAAAAGTGGACAATAATGTTTACATATTCCTCATGTATAGCAAAAAAAAAAGAAAAGAAAGAACAGATAATTTAGCTTGCTGTTATTTGTAAAATTGCTTTTTTTTAATAGAAATGTGCAAGATAAATGAATTAATTAATTAAGCTGAAAAAAAATGTAAAAAAAAGTAGCAGATATCTGCATATGTTGAAGCTGGTAACTGTATAGCAAAGGATAACTTCATAAACACTGAATATCTCAAATGAAATTATCGTACACTCCTTGTTTTGTCTGCATAAGTGTCACTAGTTAGCCATAACTGTCAAGTCGTATTAAGCTGAAGCCTCTAATAATTGAACGAGGATGGTCCCACAATAGTTCAGTACTAATTTGGATTTAATCTGCCTTTTACTGCCCCTTCTCATATAATAAGGAAGGATTTTGTGCATTTAATCAGTGGTCTTTGGATTTGAGGGAGAAAATTGCTTATTGATGATGTTTTTTTTTTATTCATTAACTGAAAAAAATAGATTTCTCCAAATTGAAACTAGAAACCAAACACTTTTGGGCTCTACTTTCAATATAAATATATTGGATTCAAACAAATAATTTGCATGTGTTGAAAGTGTTTCAGGAAATTAAATAACCAGCAGTTATTAAAATAATTTTTAGTTTTAAATTGTGTGGTTTCCTAAAACAAGTTCATAAATCAATTGCTTTTCTAATGCCTCTTGAATATTGACTTCTCTTTAAACAGTAAGAAAGTGAATTCCATGAAAAACGTTCCACAAAAAAGCGCCTTGGATAACCAGTGTGAATAGTGTATGCTTTTATGTGTCACAATATGATAGATGAACTTTGGTATCTGTTACAGCATTTTGCAGGGACAGATTATCTTTCTGCAAGTCGCAAGGGTTTTTTTTTCTTCTTCTTCCTTCTTTGACATATCAGATATTTGTTTGACATTTGGGAAGCCTGTTTGAAGTCACCTGGCAAAGCTACCGGATCAGGTTGATTGTTTTCTGGGGACGTGTTTTCCTCGGGGGAAAGATAATTTAGAAGAATAGGATAATTTAGGTAGAAGATTCACTGTCAGTTTTATCTGCATTAAAACGCTACTATTTTTGCCTCTGACAGGTTTATAATTTCACATAGAAATAAGAGAGTAAAATATTGCTATTGGTCATGATCCATTGACATAACCAAGAGAGTCTTGATTAAAGACAAACCAAAAACAGTTATACTGATTATTTTAATTTGGTCATATAATGTGAATGGACTTAATTTGTCTTTAGAAAAAATGTGGTCATTTTGCTGATGACATTATATTTAGCAGTTTGGAAGTGAAAGTGTTGTTTTTTCGGTTTCTTGATTTTCTCAATTATTTGGGCTCACAAAAGAAAAAAAATAACAGCTAGTTGGGGGCCTAACATACATAAGTACAACAAAGGGGTATGACTAATTTTCTGTCAATCTGTTCATTTAGATTTTATGATTAATAACTTAGAATTACACCAATTTTCATTGGACCTCTTCTAAACAAGACCAGGGAACTTTGGTTTAAAGAATCTGATAAAAAAAATCTGTTGCATCTGATTGTTCAACACACTTTTGTTAAAAACTGTACCAGATTGAGAGATTTTATCTGTAGCGGTTTATGGCATTAACTCTCAAAAATGATGGCTGTCTACACCCAATCAGTATAATACGCTTCCAGGCACTTCAATTACTGGATATGACACCTGGCAATAATGCCAACCGTACCTGTTATCAATATTTTGATCACCATAGTCCATTAGCATATGCCAGTAATAAGTTACCCAATTACATCGCTTAAATAGGGAAAAATCTTGGATTTTGTGTATCATTCTGCACTCTAGTGCAAACTTCCCTACTTTTCAGGGTTTATCTTCTTAAACTGGATCCTTGACAGCCAAGTGTTTTGAATGCAATATTATCAAAGACGTAGCAGTTTTAACACTCAGGAAATAAACAGTAAAGAAAAGATCCACTGCCCGGTTGATTTCCAATTTTATACTAGATTTTGATTTCTGTCTTCATCAAGTTTTATTATCCAAACAGATTACAGTGCTCTTTGTAACAGTGACAAATGCTTATGTTTTAGTATTGTATATATCTCTCTGCGATCATAATTAAAGTGGTCTTGTAGGTTAAGAACACACATTAAACCTCATTGATTTCTTCTTTTATGGCCAATTGAACTGTTACAGGTAATCTATATAAGGTTTGTTACAGTGGACAAAAACCTGACAGACTCGAGTGAAAAGAAGGCATTAAAGCACTCTTAGTGGCTTTGTTTGAACTGAAGGGCCTTGTGAGTCTATTAGAGCGCATTCAGAACAGTGGACTAACGGATCCGCAGTTCAAATATGGCGACCTACTAAAAAGCTTGCCGCTTAATTCAGGATAAGACACTGAATAGATTTCCTGAAGGGATAAGGCAACAAGCATTCAAGTGGGTTGGACATATTTCAGGCCTACCCCAACTACCAGACTCGGCACGTAAAGATCCTGAATTAACCGGTATATCGTACCACGCTACCCGTTTTCTAGGTGTGTGTCAGATCGCATTTCGGAGTATCAGTCAGAACACCGGCAGGATGAGCCTGCGGTCGTCCTACATAATTTGTTCTGGGGTATGATGCTCTGAAATGCGATCTGACACACACCTTGAAAACGGGTAGTGTGGTCCAATATGCTGGTTAATGCAGGATCCTTATGTGCAGAGTCTGGTAGTTGGGTAGGCCTGTATTTGTTACACGGTTCTGTTAGTTCCCTGTTCTGAATGGCCTTTGAGTTATTAGAACACACAATACAGATTTGAAACAATGGTGGCAGCTTTATGGGATGCTGTTCATAAGTAACATTTTGAGATAGAGGTCTGTATACAAAAAAAAAAAAAAAAGCTATCTGTGCCAGACACCAAGTTGTCTGTGAAATTGATTGCCTAATTACACCTGTCAGATGGTATACTGGTCAATTTCCCATTTCGACTATTGGTCAGTCTCCAAAATAGTCGTTTCACTGTCGGTCAGTCTGTCTAGACAAAGTCTAGTATAAAATTGGAAATCTACCAGTCAATGTTAAAAAGAACTTTGCAAGTGGATCTTTTCTTTATTGTTTATCTCCTGAGTGTTCAAACTGCTACAATGATCTCGCCTTTCTCACGTCAGGCATGTAAATAAGACTGAAAAATAAAAATATATCCGCTTAGGTTTATATTGCATCCACTGCCCAATGGTGTGTTGTTTTACCTTCTGTCATATATTGATTGCTTTCACAGAATTCTGTCTGATTGTTAAAGTGGTTTTCTTGGAAGCGGTTTCTGTTGGGATTTGGCCTTGTCTTTGATTTAATAATGGTCCTCTATTTAGCTGAGAGATTCATTATTTTAACTGCTACAAATGGGGGTTATAATGACCTTTCATAACTGCCCTTCAACTGGTTTATTTCTTGGTTTGATTAGCGTTTATTGGTAGAAGATTGAGAGTTTCTTCAGTTTAACTGCTGTAAATTTGGAAGCATTATCTGAATCCAGAGCTGTCTAAGCGATAAGTTATATTTATCATTTTATCCTAAACTTTTATTTATTTATGTAAAATAGAGACTGGCAGTAGGCAAACCAAGGGAAGCATTTGGGCAACCTTCTCCCATGATTGTTATATTTATCAAAATTTTGTATTTCATTCTGAACTGTACACAGGTATGCTCTCACTTTGCATAAGTTAATTACCAACATGATATTTTCAAAAATATTTTTGTTCTTACAACGTTTATACTATCTTCATTATTACACACGGGAATTGCCATTTTTATTTTTTATCTTAAATATTTATTTATTTATTTATTTATTTTTTTGGCTCAGTTGTCATTATTTTTCCTGTGTCCTCAGCGCCTGTACTGGTACCAGTTTTTTTTTTCTTTTGTGCAAAAATCGTGGACTGTTTCATCTGCCTGTATTAACCACAAAAGTGAACAAATAGAAATGTATTCAGAACAGGGTAACAGCTGTATGTTAATGATGTGGTCAAAGTGGAGGAAGAGATCTCACTGAGAATTGTTATATTATTGACTTTGGTTTGTTGTGGAGTCTATTGAGTCCTTGGGATGATAGTCAGATAGATGTGGTCGAAACGAGGAAGAAATCTCACTTATAATTGTTATATTATTGACTACAGTCTGTTAGGGAGTCAGTTGAGTCCTTCGAATGATAGTCAGATAGATGTGGTAAGAATGGAGGAAGCGATCTCACTGAGAATTGTTATATTATTGACTTTGGTCTGTTACAGAGTTGATTCAGTCCTTGGGACGATGGTATTCTTGCTGGGGTAGCGCTAACACTCGCCAATTTAGCCAAATTCAAAAACTGACTTAAGTTGGCTAAACAAAAATGGTTGATTTGCCTTGTTTTAGTCAAATTTAAACCATTTGGAGAAAAAAAGTGATGAAAAAGTAGTGATATGGCTAAGAGAAAAAAATTGCCAGTCTGGCTTGGATAACAAGGCCACTGTCGCACTTTTACCTGTATGAGGTCCTTATAATTATGAGTTCCTTACAAATTTTTTCAATACGCAGCTGTAAAGTCAAAATTGTGAAGGTTTTTCGATTGCCTTGACATTTACGTCATTTTGACTTATTTATGTCCTAGGTGCGCCAAAGTCATAGTAAGTGCGTAGTATTCTGTTAGCGCTCAGCTGGAAGAGAGAGCTGCCTAATAGTTGAATTGATTCCTACTTAGAATTCCTGGATTTTTTTTTGCAGCATACGGATTCTGTGGATCAGGGACTGGGAAAATAACCTAGATTCCCCTGCCGCTGGCATTGTTAGCGTGCCATTTAGATTAATAAGTAGCCTAAAGATAATAAGATACAGGTGAGTAAGCATGTAAAAAAAAAAAAAAAGAAAAAAAAAGATAAAATGCATGTTTTGTTTTTATGACATGACAGGACATTCATAAACTTATTCGACTTATTCCTGGGAATAACGTGCCTGGGAATAACGTGAAAGTTAACTTATAAAATTACAGCATCATCAAACAAGTGATAAAGATTTTACAGCAGAAACATAATTGTAACGAAGAAAATAGCAGAAGCAAAAAAATATTGATTGTGATCAGCACACTTTGCCTACACTTTGAGATGCCCCCTCGGAGCTGTGAAGCACCTGCACATGTATAACTGAATACTTCTGTGTTCATAGTGTGGGGGAGAGAGAAATAGAGAGGTATTAACACACAGGCTAAGCTCCACACAGTGGGATTCCCTGTCTGCAGCCAGACAAGGCAGTACTAGACTGCTTGTGCAGGTTATATCTAGGTGAGCGGCTTCTGTGTTTGACTTCTGGGTGGTCTAGCCATGATGTGTTCCCTCACAACAATTTAATGGGATGTGAATTAGAGAAATTTGCCAAACGTAAAAAAACGGCCGTAAAAAATGACCTGTATGATGTTGAAGTGTGATAAAGGTAAGAGATACGTTTTAAGGTGTAGGGAGGCCAGGCCCTTAGCCAACAATTTCAAAAGGGGGGTTCTTTTTCTGAAAAAGTGGACCTTTTACCATGAAATGTCCATGTACCTAGATCAAATTTCACCCGGAGGGGGCATTTTCCCAGCAAAAAAAGGTGGTTCTTTTGAACCCTCCAAACCTCCCTGGCTACAGGCCTGGAGGCGTTACCTCAGATTTCAGTTTTATCAGCGTGAAGGTCATGTTTGTGGTATTGAAGCCTGCTGGGACTCCCTGGGTCCAGGTGCTACGGAGGTAAGCTTACAGAAGACCCAGGTGTCAGCTGAGCAGTTTTGCAGGGTTATCCCAGGTTAAGTGATAAGTGGTTCATGAGGCAAATGCTCTCAGTATAAAATGTAAATGTTCTAACGGATATGGTTTCTTTGGTCTTTAGAAGATGTTAATGATGTTATTTCTTTGCCAAATTGCTTTTCCCTTGGTGGAAATGGGCCTGTTTGTAGAAAAAAATGAATTCTAGTCTGACCTTTGTTCGTGAGGATAGTATTTTTTTTTCTTCAATGTTATGGCATTCTGTTAATTTGTATAAACCAGTGAATCAATAAATGACAGTTAAATTGGCCAGATATGGATGGCCGAAGGACAGCCAGAGGTCATTGACCTTAGTTCAATGTTTTAGACCCTGTTCCCATACCTAGGTCAACCTAGCAGGATCGACCCATCTCCGAGGGTGTTTCTCCCTAAATTGCATTCACTTTAAGCAGCTCTGATGTCTGGCATGCCAACTTAAGCTGTTAGGGGGTAATGAACTTTGTTAAGCAGCTTCAGTAGGTGTGCCTGTCATCTAAGCCATTCAAGCCGAATGCAATTTAGCGAGAAACGATCTAGGTATGGCAACAGGGTCTTAGTTAAGAGCAATGAATCTAAGATCTAGTCCCTCCAATGTTCTGATCAGCCATTGTGGTCATTAGGATCAATACATGTGTCCCAACATTACTTAGAGCGCATCTAGATCAGCGGACCAACAGATCCGCAGATTAAATGTGGCAACCCACTAAAAAAAACTTGTTGCTTAATTCCTGATTAGACTCTGAATAGATGCCCCAGTTCAAGTGGGTTGGCCATATTTGATCAGTGAATCTGTTAGTACGCTATTTTGAATGCGCTCTCAAGTACAAGCAGACGTCCATTTTTACAGCTGCAAGCTGTCGTGCTAGCTGTGCAAGGCTGAGGCTAACATAGAATTTTTTGCCAAATGCTAAATAAATCTATCCTGGCTTTAAAAGGTTTTTTTTTTGATAGGTATTTGATTGATACATATTTCTTTATTTTTGCAATGAAGAGTGTGGGGAATAAATTGGGTGGAAAAAGTAATTTGTGCCAAATAATCAAGTTGCATGTTATAGTGACCCAAATGTTTGACCTATATCTTTGCACAGATTGAAGGCAGACCAAACTGTGAAGAGGTTTGTGAACAGAATAGGTGATCAGATATAGAAGAGATCTAGGTAAATCATGAAATGAATAAGAAATAGACATTTGGGTCAGTTCATAATTTCATTTAACAGGACTGGATCTTTTTTGGGGGGGTGGGGGGGAGGGGTTAAAGAATGGTTCTTTTGAACATCTTAAATCCCTAAAAGTCTATGGGCCTTGGGTAAAACATTGGATTAAAAAGAAAGACTGAGGGTGATTATATATAACTTATAAGGTATGTACAGATCAGTTGCCGTGTTCAGTTGAAACTTTGAGACATTGAGATTATAAACAAGATATCAACATGAACAGTAACTAGAAAGATATACCCTCTGAACTGTGCAAAAGACCATTTCAAGTACACGCAAGAAACCTTTTCTCAGTTGCCTGTAAGGAGATGCACAAAGCCATGGGAGTTTGGACTGCAGTGTGGTACTGGAGAGAATATGGATAGACAGGCCTCGTTTGTTGGGGTCATTATTTGAGGTCAGTAAGGTCAGCGCTGGTCTGAATGTGGGTCAATGGACCATTAAGCATGCCAAGAATCTTAATGCAGATGTTGATGTTGTGATGGCCAGTATTATCGAGGTCACTAGGTTACCTGGGTCACGGCTATCTGTAGGTCACTTCATGGCTGGGGTTAATAAATGGAACTGTGCAGAAGATTTATGTGGTCTTAAATCTTCTATTTTTCTACAAGAGCAGTCTTTGCTTTTCATCCCAAAAGGCACTTTACTTCCTTGTAATATAATGACACTGATACTTTTGCTCTGAAAATGCGTTTCTACACAAACTAAAGAAAAAAGGAGTGGGCTAAACAGTTTGCTCAGCTTAAACTGAGTGAGGTATAAAGTGGATTTAATTACTTATTTGAAATGTTTTTTTCTGATCTGGTGTTGTTGCACTGATGATACTTTTTGTTGCTACAAACTAGATTCCATTTAGATTAGTAATTACGTTTGAAAGGCGAAAATTTCGCCTTCGTTGAAACTTGATTCCTTTCAGTCAAACTATCGTATTTGATTAACAATACAGGCAAGGATTACAAATAGAAAACTAGATTTGATTGCAGAGAATGCATTTCAAAGTGTTTCTTCTATTCAAGTTTATTGTAGTGTGAGGATTTGGCGAAAGTACACATGTATTGGATTTAAATGTCAGTGCACTCCTTGCTGGTGTCTTGTATTGTGTTCCTGTGGTACATGCTCTCCATCATGTGGTTCTTTTGAATGAAATTGTGGAAAAAATGAGTTAAACATCATAATATTTATTCTGAGAGGCATTTTTTTTTTTTTTTTTAATTGTGCATGTTCTCCATCATGTGTCATTTTGAACTTGTTATATACATGTCCTGAGATAAGTTCAACAAGAAGTAATTAATCTTCTTTTTAGTTAAAAGAGGGGAGTTTAAAATCTGAATGCTTTTTATCTTGAATTTTTGATGTTTTGAAAATTGTGTCCTGTAATACTATATTTTGTTTATCATTAAAAGTTAAAGTAGCATCCGCATATTCAGGGTTTGAATATTTCCTCTGGCTTCAAAGCTAGGACCATCACGTAATTATTGATGGTAATTTTGGCAGACATGAAATAAATCCATATGTTTATGTGGAGTTACACGCCATTCCCAGGTAAATAAGCCTTCACGTTATGACAGCTCACCAAAATTACGCATACCTGGGAGTTGCGTCACACCAAAAGGCGCAAAGACCAGGAGACAGTCTGAGAGACGGAGTGAAGGAAGTCGACGTGAAGCTCAACTTGAAGAATAGGAAGACGTAATGAGCACAATCCCTATACTTGAATTCAGGCTGTTGGATTTTATCAGACACTTATAAGGACAAGCTGCAAAAAGAGGAAGAAATTGAAGGAATGGAAAAAATAATGCCTTGAAGGATGTTTACCAATTAATAATGGAGAAAAAAAAGGATAGACAGTAGATTACATTCAATAGGCAGATTACAACTTACAGAAATATCCCCTCTCAGGGGCATGAATTGAAGTTTTGGAAGAAGTGCATCAGTCGGGTAATTGTGTTCTGTTATTTTATCATGTCACAGACAGTTACAAGGATAGAAAACATTTTTTTTTTTACTTGTCAAATTTCCTTTCATCTGGTCTATGTATATGATTATGTTTCAAAAACCAACGTGTAGGGCATAAGGAGGGATCCAGGGGTGGATGCAGATATATTTTTTGACGATCTTCCAAATTATCTTTGTTGATCCATCCTCCATTTTTGACCATATTCCAACAGAAAAAAAAACAAAAAAAAAAAAACAAAACAAACAAACAAAAAAAAAACAACAGATTCCTGTCAATGTAAACTAGAAAAATTCTGACCGTCTTCCAGAAAACCCATAAATGGTCTCCATCCTCCCCTGAGATCTGTCTAGATTCATTGTTACAGCTGATCAGTTTAAACATATTAATAAGACACCTGTGCACCATAACACCTGCACAACACTGATACTGATGATCAGTAGGTGCCTTGGTAAAGACAGACAAAGTAAGTAAAAAATTCCTGAGAAAAAAAGATTTAAGTACACTGTATTTAAACTATCTGTGATATGGTGAAATGATTAAGCAAAATGAATTTAATTATTGCAAATTAAGGGGGGAATAGTCTGAATGGCCTTGTGGAAAGGAGAGTGAAAAAAATGGATATATATCTAACTCTGGTGACCAAAAAATATTGTTGATGTATTGGTATTTGTTTCTTACTTTCTGTTGCTTAAACCATTGTTGTAAATATTAAAAAAAAGGCTGTTGATTTAAAAAAAAAATTTTCTTCCTTTTGGTTTTTCTTGACATATTTAATTTTGCTTCGTTCTAGTAGTTTAGCTTAAAGGGATAATAACTCTTCCTATGGGTTCTATATTTCACAATCAAAACATTGTGAACAACTCATAGAACTAAAATATATTCTGTTGTACCACAAAAACTGCAGTTATAGCTATTATTCTGATATCTGAGCTTGTCTTTAGACCACATGACCTCCATTGATGGCTATACTCTGTTATAATCTCTTAAGAGATTATAACCAAAAAAACAATCTTTTTAGAAAAAAAAAAAAAAACAGGGACTAACTTTGAATGTAAAAATGGATTCATTAACCATTGGTAAGTATGGGAAAATTGTTGTTTACTCCAGGAAAATTCATTTTTTGGCCAAAACAAAGTGTTATTATCCCTTTAATATGTAAAATATGTATGTGGATAGATTGGCCTGGTTACAGGATATTTGACTTTCTGTCAGAATTTGAAAAAAATGAAAGTGACAAATATTTATCTGGGACATGCAAATAACATGGAAAGTAGGCCAAAGACCAGATTTTCATTAATATTCATAACATGCATTTAGACCAAAGGATTGAAAAAGTAAACAAAAAAACAGCCCCTGTACTTGATATGCAAGTCAGATTTTGTTATCTGCTTCAAACATCAATGTTGACAGGAAACTGGGACGTAAATACAGCAATGTCAATGGCCTGCAATGTGAGCTTTGGAACACAAGGAAAATTGATCCTAAAATGTTCTTAGGTGACAAAAGCAACACTAAACCACAAAGACTTAT